GAAACTCAGACCTAGTCATTATCTGTGATGTTCAGCCTGGCGTGTCAAATTGGACAATGAATGTTGTTTTTTGAACCTCTTGAATGAGTAAAGTCAACTTTAACGAGGCCATCGAGAGTGGACGATTTTTCTGCATTTTTTAAGCTATGAACGAAACCGGTTGGTTCATTTAATACATAGATGTGCATTTTTTAATATTTCACTTCGCTTGGATCGCTTGAATTTTTCCGTCGACCGTTTCGGTGGCACCGCAGCGATCCAACCAATAGGCGATGGCCACGTGGCGCGGTCGTTTCGAATATCAATGTAAGGGGCTCTCGCTCTTGTTCTGGCCGTTGTCCTCACCCTCTCGCGCTGTTACATTGATTTTCGTCCTTCTCACTCCTCCTCGCCCTCTTCTGCCCTTTTTCGCCCTTTCTCGCCAATTTACACCCTCTCTCGTCTTCTCGTCCTCTGCTATCATTCCTAGCCCTTCTTGGCCCTTTTTGGCCCTTTTTCGCCATTAAACGCCCTTCGCCCTTTCCTAACGTTTTTCGCCCTTTTTCGCCCTTCTTCGCCCCTTTTCGCCCCTCCCCCTCTCCCAACGTTTTTCGATCCTTTTCGCCCTTCTTCGCCCCTTTTCGCCCCTCCCCCTCTCCCAACGTTTTTCGACTCTTTTCGACCCTTTTCGACCCTTTCCGCCCTTTTTCGCCCCTCTCCCTCTTCCAACGTTTTTCGACTCCTTTAGACCCTTTTTGCCCGTTTTCGTCCTTTACCGCCATTTCACACCTTTCCCCCTCTCCCAACGTTGCGGCGGCGTCAGTTCCGGCGGTGGCGGTGGCGGCGGCAGCGGCGGATAGTTAATTAAATTTGAAATAAAAAAAATAATAAATCAATAATTGATTTATTACAAATAATTTGATTACAAAAAGATGTGAAATCGAATCAAAGACACCTTCTTCAGGTGTAAAAAAACCTCACCAAGTATATATATGTGCCCGTCACTAGTCCTTTCTGTTATAATCTCGGTTACATTATGTTAATACGGCCACGAAACAACTGAAATCAATTATAATGCACCAAATACGAATAATCTTTTTTCTCGGGTTCACTTAGTTCTTTTATTAGCTAAAGAAAAGATACATAGATCTTTTATTAGCTAAAGAATGAATACACAGAATTTATAAAACTATATAACAGAATCTATAACATAAAAAATATGTATAATTTTTAAAACATTTTTGGCGAGCCGCGTAATAATATACCAATAAATAGCCTCAAAGGTATTGAGACTTTATTATTACGTCAATGACTACATTACTAGCGTTCATATCATTGCCTGCCCGCTTCTTTCAATGTACTGTAATAGTATAAAGCCTAAAATGCTCTCAGAAATTATAAATATTAATAAGCGGCTCGCCAAAAATGTCTTAAAAATTGTACATATTTTTTATGTTATAGATTCTGTTATATAGTTTTATAAATTCGGTGTATTCATTCTTTAGCTAATAAAAGAACTGAATTAACCCAAGAAGAAAGATTATTCGTATTTGGTGCATTATAATTGATTTCAGTTGTTTCGTGACCGTATTAACATAATGTAACCGAGATTATAACAGAAAGGACTAGTGACGGGCACATATATATATTTGGCGAAGTTTTTTTACACCTGAAGAAGGTGTTTTTGATTCGATTTCACATCTTTTTGTAATCAAATTATTTGTATTAAATCAATTATTGATTTATTATCTGATTTATTATTTTTTTTATTTTAAATTTAATTAACTATCCTCCGCCGCCGCCGC